CTCTCTCGCTCTCTCTCTCTCTATCTTTCTCTCTCTCTCTCTCTATCTTTCTCTCTCTCTTTCTCTCACTCCCTCTCTCTTTCTCTCTTTCTCTCTCTCTCTCTCTCTCTCTCTCTCTCTCTCTCTATCGCTATTTCGCGCTCTCTGTCTCGCCCTGTTTTTCTCTTTTTTTCGCTCTCTCTAGATCTCTCTCTCTCTCTCTCTCTTATTATCTTTCGCCCTCTCTAGATCTCTCTCCCTCTCTCTCTCTCTCTCTCTCCTTATCTCTCGTTCTCTCTTTCTCGCTCGCTCTAGATCTCCCCTTTCTCTCTCTTTATCTCTCGTTCTCTCTCTCTCTCTCTCCTTGTCTCTCTCTCTCTTTCTGTTTTATTTCCTTCGTCTCAGCCTTCCTCGTCATCTCTCGTCATTTTCTCTTATTCTCAGTCTCTCTATATCATTCGTATATTCTCGCAATATCAACTCTAGCGCCCTCTTTCTCTCTCAATCTATTTATATATCAATATTATTTCTCGAGCACGCTTACGTGATGAGTGTGTTTGTACGTACTGCGCGCGTGCACGTGCGTGCATGCTTCGTGTCTGTGCGTAATCCGCTTCAAATTTGAAATCGCGAGGAACGATAACCTCTCGCCTCAATCGCGGCACACAATGCCTCGTTTCATATACGTACCTAGTTAGTATAGACGTACGTAATGGAAGTGAACTCAATAGTGGATTCAATAGAATCATCTTCCTAGGGCAGGATCGCGCACAGTAATGGCAAGTGCTATGTAATTACTTTCGTCAAACCGACACGAAACCACACAACAAAACCAATATAGGCGCTCGAATTTTTCTCGTCTGATGCAGTGTATATCGTCTAGGCTGTTACTGGCGACGAACCCCACAGAAATATCAAGACTTCGCATACATAAACGCGATGCAAAAATACATTGCATGCAGAGTTAGTTGCCGACGAAACGGCAATACAGCCGAGGGTTTGCCTGATGACGGTGATGATATTTTCAGGTCAATTGATTCGGATAAGATGAATTCATGTCATGTGATTTGTAGGTAAACATTTCGGTTCATGCCATTCGTAGGTAACAGAAACAGGAGAAACTGAAAGCAGATATTTTATTAAAAATTAGTAGAAAAATTAATTTCAAGTTACGCGATTCGGATGAAATGATCCCAGTTCGTGCGATTCATACAACTAAAATTTCAGCTCGTTTAATTCGTAGCCAACAAAAAACAGAACGAACAATCACGTATTTTGCACACAAAAAACAGACAAAACAAACAAAAAACAGAAATGTGTGTCCGTGAACGCGGTTCTATTTCATCGCTCGATTGCGCGCTCCGAGCGTGCTAGAAGGTGGCGCCCTCATCCGCAAACACGAAGCCGTACTAAAAATACACGAAGATCGCCCGGTGCATGTCATGCCCAATTTCAAAGCTCCAGTGGAACCCGCCCCCCACCCCACCGCCCCGAGACTCTGCTAGAGCTAGAGTGTGGGAGAGCAAATGACACTCCCAAAAGACAATCGAGACTTTACCCTCGATGCAGAAAACGATGGCGCCACCAGTTACGTGGCGCTGTTGGTAATTTCCGGCGCAACATAAGCTCCTGCGGAGCGACTCAGCGTGCGCCGTTAGCTCTGTTAATATAGGTATAGATCGATGTATGTGTGCATGTGTACGTGTACGTGCGCCCGTGTGCATGTGCCTTGCCCGAACGTCGCGTATCTCGGTAATCGATTGGCCTGCGACAACACGCAAGAATCGTGTTGATTAATATCTCTCACGGTGAAAGATAAAGATAGCTAAAGATAGCAGCGGTCAGGTGAGGATGTACGTGCGAGCGCAGGCGATGACAGTGAAGCCGTATCTTAGACCGTACCCTAGACAGACGCGAAGGGGAGGGTTGACAGCATCGCGAGGAGTGTAAGGAGAAATCTATAGTCTGCGCCAAACATATATTAGGAAGAGATACCGAAATATGGATGGATATCATCAATATATATAATATATATATATATATGCATATATATATATATATATATATATGCATATGTGTACATTATGCGCGTGCGTGCGTGCGTGTGTATATGATCTATTCTAAGCTAATAAAGCACTATATGATAATTTCAACAATCAGCAAGGTACAAGCTCTAGAATCACTACTCATCATTTTTCATTTGATAATTTGATGCTACGATTTATCTTTCTACATTTTGCTAACTTCGTTCATGCGCGAAATTTGAAATTGAAAAAAAAATGTTACATAGTATGTTACATAGTATAGACTAATCCGAATGGCGACGTACTAGCAGTGTACGCAAAGTTGAAGAACTTGGTTGTTACATATGTATGGGTTAGGCACAGTAACAGCTATTATAGTCCCATGGATATAGCTCATAGTCATATGGATAAAGCCATAAAGGGAATTCGGCAAGTCTCTTCGATTTCTACTTTTGCTATTCTGATTCCATTTAATATATATGGATAGTCGGCATATGTTAAGTTGATTGCTATGATACATTGCTGTATCCATGTAGCCAGTAAAGGTAACGAAAAATTGCTCGAACGTGAATTCCGTTTTCGAACTTAATAACTTCCACAACATAATCAGAGATTCGTTCCCACGATAAATTGTAAGCCCAAAGTAATAATATGATCACACGCGTGAAATACACGTGTAAGCTTATTATCTGATGATGTAATGTGATGATATATACACCACAGATTTAAATTTAATACACCCGAGAGAATTTTGAATGTGTCGTGAAGAACACGGCGAATACGTGCCCACGCTTGATCATATAAAAAATACTGCATGAATTCCACGCTAAAAAATATTATAACTTTGGTGATCTTTTTCGTTCTTGTGATATCATATTGTTTTGTGTAGATGGTTTTTTTTAAAATAATTTCCGCACATCAGGGCAAATTTACAGGTGCGTATCCAAAATTCAGTAGTCATAATTTTTCACATTTCCATATGTGCGACTTCCAGCAACCGGGATGTTCGTAGCTTACACTGTAGGCATTTACGTGGGAGTGCATATCAGGACGGAGGAGGCACGCGTTATTAGACAGTGATGATAGTTTTATAAGCATCTCCTTTAAATAACTTTGCTTTCATACGAATTGCGAATATCGGCATTATTAATAGCACCTAGTTTCGCGTGATGCTTGCTGAGATGAAGTGCTAGTGTTATGGATATTGCCGTATTGCTGTTTTTCGGTACGAGCAGTGAATGACGAAACATCCATCTAATGTCTCGTTGCAGTGTATTTAGCAATGTGCGCTAAACTCGCTAATTACATTTTACCAAGAGCTAATAATACATTATTAGCATATGTAAATTACATCATTATAGCATAAGGTATTATTAGCTCTGGATTTTACTTACGGCAAGTGAGACGCGAACAAAGTATATATGCGTCACATGTAGTGAGACAGCGGGCGTTGCACTGCACTGTTGTAGGCAGCACGAATTTGTTAGTTGTGTGCTGCATGTTCTAATCCACTGTCCACGATTTTTCCCCGCGATTGATGATTCTTACGGAAAAATATTGATAGCAATTGTGCGTTAAATTTAGTTTGTGAATAATTACAAATTACAATTTTTTTCAGTGTGTGCGGCCATGCGACGAGGTATTCTCTGCCTATCTAGCCTGTTCGACCCTATGCAAGGTAATATATTATTCAAAGTCATTACGTAGTAATAATATTCTAAAATTTAACAAACTTCATATAACAAACCCTATACCTTGATACCTGTTGTTAACTCCTCAGTTGTTAACTCCTCAGTTAACTCCTCAGTTATTAAAACTCCTCATCAACCTTTTGAATCAGATTTTGTACCGGCGATGTGCAGTGTATTTTCTGGCGTTTAAAGGCATAATTTATTTTACTCTGTAACCATTCCTTGTAGGATTTCGATAACAGAAAAAATAATTACTTGAATCTGCTTTATTTGTTATTCTCGGCGGATTGATCGCAGCTTGTAAATGAAGGAATATCTGACTTCAGGCAGATCCGTTAACAGTATGGATGCACACAAGCACACGTTTGCAAACGAAATATGGATTTTGGGCATGCAGTGACGCTTCGTGTGATGTTTTTTAGACTATATATGCAAATGCTTCCATGCACGTCATAGCAGCACTCGACGCGCAACCTGGCAGCAGTTGATGATATAGTCACATTAAGTATGTCTATGTACGTGATTGCAGCTGCGTATCTATATAACGTGGTTATCGTGTCAGCGTGCATGCTCTGCATGTCTGGATGGCAGCTGAAAACTGGTTGACACGCGTCGTTCGTGCGCGACGGCGTGATGCCAACATCTGGCTAGATTTCTGACGAATCCTAAATTTCTAAACGCATTACAGTATCGATGAAAGGATTTATCGTTGACGGTAACATTCGTGAAACTGTAACACTGTACAACTATATGTGACTGTTTGGGTTACCCCACCCCCTTCCAGCACAAATTCCTTGTATGCATAATCTGTGTATGTACGGCGTGGAATAATACGTGATAATTATTGCTACACGGACGCAGCTGTCCGAAAACTAGGATACTTTTATAGTTTTATGGTTGTTCAGTATCAATGACACTGCTCTTGCAAGTCTCCTGTACTCGGGTGAAGCGCATCGCTGGTGCGGTCCTAAGCTCTAGAGCTATAGCCCTTCGCTATAGCCTGTGGCAGAGCGAAGGGCTATAGTTCTAGAGCTAGTGCGGTGCATGTCTATGCTATCAGCTTCCATCAACCCTTGCCCCGTGTGACGTCATGCGACGTGGCCATGACGCTGGATTTCACGAGAATCTCTTTATATAGGGGGAGTCTTGGCGCGACTGCTCTCTATACTAACGGTTCTATGCGTGTTGTATTACATGATATAGCCATGTCATCCCTGGTGCAGGGAAGGGCCCGCGTGCATCCCTGGTGCAGGAAGGCCGGTACTCCCTTGTTGCAGGAATGGGCCCGCGTTACTTCCCTGGTGCAGGGAGGCGCCCGCGTTGCATCCCTGGTGCAGGGAAGGGCCGCGTGCATCCTGGTGAAGGGAAGGTCCCCGGCGTACATCCCTGGTGCAGGGAGCTCCCGCGCTGATCCCTGGTGAGGCGAAGGACCCGCGTGCACTCCCTGCGTGCAGGGAAGGACCCGCGTACATCCCTGGTGCAGCGGAAGGGCACGCGTACATCCCTGGTGCAGGGAAGCGGCCCGCGTACATCCTGGTGCAGGGAGGGGCCGCGTGCATCCCTGGTGCAGGGAAGGACGCGCAGTGTGCATCCCTGGTGCAGGGAAGGACCCGCGTACATCCCTGGTGCCAGGAAGGACCCCGTTACATCCCTGCCGTGCCGGGAAGGGCCGCGTAAATCGCTGGTGCAGGGAAGAGGCCCTTTTCGTACATCCCTGGTGCAGGGAATGGCCCGGTGCTCCATGCGTGCAGGGAAAGGCACCCGCGTTGATCCTGTGAGGGGAAGGGCCGCGTGCATCCTGGTCGCAGGGAAGGCCGCGTACCTCCTGGTGCAGGGAAGGGCCGGTACATCCCTGGGCAGGGTAAGGGGCCCGCGTGCATCCCTGGTGCAGGGACGGGGCCGCGTGGGCATCCTGGAGCAGGAAGGGCCCGCGTGTCCATCGCCTGGTGCAGGAAGGCCGCGTGCATCCTGGTGCAGGGAAGGGCCCGCGGCATCCTGGTGCAGGGAAGGACCCGCGCTACATCACCATGGTGCAGGAGGACCGCGTACATCCCTGTGCAGGGAGGGTCCGCGTACCTCCCTTGGTGTCAGGGAAGGGCCTGCGTACATCCCTGGTGCAGGGAAGGGCCCGCGTACATCCTGGTGCGAGGATGGGCGCGTTACATCCCTGGTGCCAGGGGTGGGTCCCGCTGTGCATCCCTTGTGCAGGGAAGGGCCGCGTGGCATCCCTGTGGCTAAGGGAGGGTCCCGCGTTACATAACCTGCGTGCAGGGTATTAAGACCGCGTACAGTCGCTGTGCAGCAGGAAGGTCCCGCGCTGCATCCCTGGTGCAGGGAGGGGCCGGTACATCCCTGCGCAGGGAGGAGTCCGCGTCGCATCCCTGGGCAGGGAAGGCGCCCACGTGCATCCCTGGTGCGAGGTGGAAGCGACCCGCGGCATCGCCTGGTGCAGGAAGCTCCCGCGTGGATCCCTGGTGCAGTCATGCAGCGCATTAGCTACATCAAGCCAAGATGCTGGTGCCGACCGCCCTGTACATCGGTTCTCTATGTGTGGTGTGTGTGTGTGTGTGTGTGTGTGTGTGTGGTGGTTGTTGTGTGTGTGTGTGTGTGTGTGTGTGTGTGGTGTGTGCTGTGCGTGCGCTGCGTGCGTGCGTGCGTGCGTGCGTGCGTGCGTGCGTGCGCTGCGTGCCGTGCGTCGTGTATGTCTATGTCTATATATGTACGTTTTGCATTGTAGGAGATCGCGACGCCGGAGCTATGCTTTCTGTCGTGCAGCTTCCTGAAGAACGTGACGACGTATAAGCCGGGCCGCTGTCCGGCGATCAGCGAGGTGACCGGTTTCGCAGCGGCCTGCGTGAAGAGCTGCAACAAGGACGGAGACTGCGACTCGAGCAGGAAGTGCTGCGAGAACGGATGCGGTCGCACGTGCCAGGACCCCGTCGGTCAACTGGAAGGTAAACATAACCGTAGCGGGGCATCGATTACTCGCGTGCGCGCGTGGGGGGTGGGGGTTTAGCGGCGGCCGTTATTATAGCTTATAGCTTTACGGTTGTGCCGCCGCCGCCGCCGCCTCGCTCTGCTGCCGTGTGAGTCTACATAGCACGCGGTGCGTTCCCGTGACAGAGCAAACTGCTATAGAGGTAGAGCTAGCTACCATTACAAATAATCAGTGCGAATGCATTTTGCCTGATCACTTAGTTTTCCTTAGGGACGCGCACGTTTACTTTTATATACCGCCTATATGCGGTGTCTGCTTTGAGAATCCTCCGTGTTTGGAATTGTTCGCGCGTGGGAGAGCATTTTTTACAGAACTGGGGTTCGCTGCACCATTCCTGACAAAACACGCATTTATTTCAGTGCACACATCACCATATCTCTCTAAACGGCTAGTGTATATCTGCGGTCTTTTGCTCAGTTGCAGCATTGCAACCTTTTCAATGTGTGTGTGTGTGTATGCATGCGAGTCTGTACGATCAATCGATAGCTGCCAAATGGGATAGAACCACACACTGAGTTGTGCATAGTGATCATAAAGACCGACACGTGCTACTGATGGAACTATTTAATCGGAACCTAGCGGCTAGGGCGGCTAGTATAGCCATGCCCTTTTTTTGTCAGCGCTTAAAAGACTAAATATTTATATAATTGATGTCAGTCGGAATGATTCACACCCTTATGATGACAGACGCCTGAAAAGCGTGCAGTTTTTTACGTCCTAGACGGTTGGTTTGATATGCGTGAATAGTAGGAATATATATTTATTTCCTTTTCCATTACCCGGAATTCTGCAAATGGATCTAACTAAACTTGTTTGACATTTCTCGTGGTGTAGTAATGACCGAGCGAATGCTCGAATAGTTTGCTTCCCCGGGGAGTTTGAATATATTATAATTTATATACACGTACATTATTTGCTGTGCACACCAGAGACTGCTTTTTATAAAGTGTACTAAACCAGAAAATATCCGCAGGTAGAAATGTCAATTAGATAATTTCTCATTTGTGTGATGGAAGCAGCTTTTGGCAGCTACGCGTAAAGCTGGCACCAGCATGAAAAGTGCTTGATAGATATGAATCTGACGTCTGATCAGTTGTGACCGTCGGAATATATTCTTTTGTTAGTTTTTAAACTTACTTATTAGATGTTTTCCTCCGGGTAGAAATCCAGTTGTTATCTATCTTGGAAATCATGCAAACATCGATAGAGTTTATAAGTATATATATAGCTTGTTCATTGACGACTATATGTTCGACTATGTTTGACAGGGAGCTTTCGACGTCGTTATTTTACCAACACTAACCTTAGACGGGCAAATTAGTATACACCCAGATTTGTTATGTGAGAAAATACTATAGGTAAAGACAAATGTGCAAAAATCGGTGATGACAATCACATATATTCAGGAGTAGATAATAGGGACTATTATTATCCGATTATCCGATTATCCTATTATCTACTCCTGATATATTCCATCTAATACCGCGTACAGACTGCAAAATTTGAACCTACATTAAACTGGTGCGGGTTAGGCGCGCGTCAAATCGTTGCGTACAGACACAGCTTGGTGCGGGATAACTTATCCCGTGATAAGTTATTCCGGGCCTGGCCCTCCTTAATTTGCGGGGCCAAATTGGTGCGGGCCAACGCGTATTTGAAGCGTGATAGCATGTACACACTGCGAAAATTTGACACGCGCATGGCGCGCACTAGTTTGATACCATATCAAATTTTCAGTCTGTATGGGGTATCATTCATCTATTTAGAGAGTTGAGGGTCAAACAGTGCTGTGTCTTTAGCTTTTATTGTTCTCTGTCTATTCCTTGGGAGCAGTGTAGGCCTACCGGTTGTAGACATGATACAGATACATAACTAGTGATCAAATTCAGTTGTCATTTACAATCAGATCCGACCTATGGCCAATCTGTGCCAGCAATCTATATATTGGTCTGGTATCTAAAATTAGCGATCGGCCAAGCTCTTGTTTCATCATTCGCTACGGCACAGATAAAAGTCTTCCGATATCTCATGATCTCTTCGTACGTATACGCGAAGGCTATACATGCACCCAGTAATAACTAGCGCTCGCCGCGAATTTGTCAGTTTATAAACATTTGCACGTTCGCGTACCCCAAGGGTTGCAACAGCAAGGCAGCGTATAAGGCCCATATTTCATACTCAACGCATGTTCATGTCTGGGTGCGATAAGGCAATCCTAACCATTACAAACTAATTCAATATAGCAATATGGCACCAGCGGGAGTTTCTCATTTTTAACCACGATTACATTTTATTCGGTATCCCGATATTCGACTTGGTAGTATCGGTCAATGTTTGTGCCGATTTTGTATGAGGTGTGTGCAATTTACACCAAATCAATGTAGCACACGCTAGACGGTGGAATTCATGCGACTTCATCACGTACACATGAAAAGGCGAAATATAACGCTGCAGGTCGCGAAATATATATATATACACACTTAAATGTCATTTCATCACTCGTCGCTGCAGGTCTACCGGACATACCAGAGAACCTAACTGTGATGGAGAGGAAAATTGGCACATCGTTTCAGCTAGACTGGGACGTTGTCGATGATTTGGAAACATCGGAGCCGATCGTGTTTGTCGTTGAAGGCAAGTCTAACATCGGCAGGCATCACAGTGAACACCACATGGCGCGCTGGGAGTACCTGGGCAAGGTATATATATACGCTATATTTATAAAGCATGGAAAAGCACATATGTTTTATCAATATGTTTGATTTTACATTTGATATATATCACTGCGATCTGAGCACACACAACAGACGTCAGGGCGATTATTAAAGATCCTTGGCTGGTCTTGCAATATATGTACTCACGGTCACCTTAAATAGATATATATATTATCATGCATCTAGCATGCCATGGTTCATTAACAAGATCAGAAATTACTTGTGTTTACACGTGTTTGGTGAAATATGCGTGTCCAGATAATTGTATAATCCACACGTATACCTACGATACGTCACGACACAAGGATATGTGTGTGCGTGCGTGTGTTTGTGTGTGTGCGTGCGTGTGTGTGCGCGTGTGCGCGCGTGTGTGTGTGTGGGTGTATGGGTGTATGTGTGTGCGCTGCGTGTGTAGCGTGTTGTTGTGTGTGTGTGTGTGTGTGTGCGCTGCGCGAGCGTGTGTGTATTGTTTATTGTGTGTGTGTTGTGTGCGTGCGTGTGTGTGTGTGTGTTTGTACGCGTGTGTGTGTGCGCGCGCGCGTACGTACATGCATGCGTGCATGTGTGCGTTTGCGTGTTTGTGAGATGTGGGTGCGTACGCGAGTGCATGCGGTTTGTCTGTTTTTATCTAAATTACTATTGTGAAGCGCGGTATGGCGTACGCGACGTGCGTGCCAGCGCCGCGCGCGTTGATGTGTGTTGTGTGTTGTGTGCTGTGTGTGTGTGTGTGTGTGTGTGGTGTGTGTGTGTGTAGTGCGCGCGCGTTGCGTGCGTGCGTGCGTGCGTGCGTGCGCATGTGCGTGTAAGTCGTGCGTTCGTGCGTGTAGCAGTTATGTAAAAGATATGAAACTGGTCTAGTATCAGCTAGATGTCAACCTGGTCTACCATCAATTGAATGATCTAGGGAAGGAAACATTTCTAACGTGCAGCTTTCTGGCATAAATCGGGATGAAACATATATACAGCCATAGCTTTTGTTATCTAATATCCTCATATCCTAAGTCAGCAGATGTGCGACAGACTAAAGTGACTAAAATTTATAGCCTCAAGTGACTATGTTACTAAACTCAAGTGACTATGTTACTAGACTCAAGTGACTATGTTACTAGACTCAAGTGACTATGATTTATATGTGAAAAACTTCGAAATGAGGGAAGTGGTCGTTTTAAAATATTATGTAATTGACATTTAATTGGCAATCAAATGTTTAACAGTTCATAATAGGATTCTTACAATTAGAGCAGCATTTGGGCAAGCCTCAGCAACGCCTTTGTTTCAGTAATAATAATAAATCAATCTGACAAGCGCAAACCAGTCAAATAAAATTGTTGGATAGAATTACTTGAAGTCCCGTTGAGGTTCACTTCCTACAGTATAGATTTCATATTGAGATTCTGTCAATTACATGACAGAGTAGTGTATAAATATATAATTTTACAAGGTACATATATCACGTGATATAGTTTAATTGGTAGTTTGTTTTTCTTTATTCAGTCCATTCACTTAAAACCAATTTTCGTTTGCAATGTACTTCTCTATAGGTAGGTTACTCACCCGTGTTAATTGCATGATAGGAAATGTTACATGAATTAATGTTTTCTGTACTTCATATGCAGACGACAATGCGTACAATGAAAATACTAAAAGATGTGCTGCCAGGTCACTGGTATGAATTCAAAGTAGCAGCTGTGAACAGGAATGGCACCAAAGGATATTCAGGCAAAAGCAAACCGATTACGTTATCAAAAGGTATAGATCCGTAATCAAAATGGGAATAATTATAATAAAAACTAAATCCTTTAAATGTGTATTGTATTTATTCATACATAGCAATAGTTACAGCTAAATATAGTTGTAATATACATAATATATATATATATATATACATATATGAGCTGTTATCTAGATTTTGAGATTACTCTTCTTGAGACACGTTTTTTTTATCCTGATGTATGTAAATATATATAAACTGTATATATTAAATTTCTTAGCTTTTTTATGAGAGACTGCCTGCTAGAGTATTTGTATAGAGCTATGCAAGCACGTACTAGCTGAAATGGCATCTTATCGCTAAAATTGCACATCGTTTCGAAAATTAATTGAGCAGTTGCTAGTTAATAATGAGTTTGATGGCAGCAATTTGGGTTTAAATTTCCAGAATATAAATTAGAGCTGTCAAGCATTATATTTACTTTGGTATTCTGCAGCCTAATAATGATGCTCTAATGAAGTAATATTTAATTGCACTCTTATCAAGAATGGAAATTGCATGGCCATGCAAGTTGCCGTTTATAAATTGTATGGAAATTTTTCACACCCATGCAGAATTAACATGCCGCTGGGAATATAATGTAAACTCAGTTAAGGCTTTCAAGGGTGAAAATCTGTGTCGTATACGCGTTGTCGCAGTTGTTTCTATCAGGAGACTACTGAACTGAGCTTGCTTCATCACGCTTGGCACCAGCACTGTTTCATCATGCGAGCGGCAGTGCATCAAACATCACGCTAGGCTCAAAGCTCTGCTGATATGTTGTTTCAGAGCCAGAGCCGCCACATGTGCCGGTCAACCTGACGGTAGGTGAGACGCGCATCATCAACGGTAAAGTGTCGTTGACGGTGCATTGGGAGGAGCCAGTAAGCGACCTGCCTGTCGTTCGATACAAGGTCTACTGGAGCAAGCGGTTGAGTGTCGTCAGTCCGACGCTTGTCTCGCTACAGGAGTACAAGAAAGCTGTGTCATCTGTGAGTTGGACATGACTCCACTGTGTATCCAAGTTTAGATTGATCACAGCAGTGCTAGCCTAATTAATTAGCCTAATTCATCCAGTCGTATTTGGTATAATAGTATTGAAAATTGCAACTATAGAGATGAAATTTCGTTAATGAAAGTAATCGACGCATCCAAATAGCATGATTGCCCGATAGCTCTATAGCTAAACATTGTTGCGATAGGAAGTTTTTGGAAAACCGCTTACACAACGAAATGTTAGCATCTTGGCGTGCACATATAAAAAAACACACACAAACTTGTCTAGCTCTACTAACGAAAAACAATATATCCAATATATTTAATAATCTATCCAATAATCAACAATTATTTCACTTAGGCAGATAGGAAATTTAAATTGGTGTGGTTTCTAGTACTTTACAAGGGAAGCTCTGCGAACAAAAGCCTCGTCTACAGGACGAACCTTAACTCGAGTTAGCGTGAACTCGAGTTAGCTTAACCTCGCCAGTCGATCAAGGTTAAGCTAACTCGAGTTACCGCTTAAACTCCGTGCCATTACCTTAACTTTACTACCCCGTGTAGACTAGTTTTTTTGTTTTTCCCCGTGTAGAACTACCTTAACCGTGTAGACGCTTAACTGCGTGAAGTTTAGCGAATAGTACTACGTGGCACACACAGGACGCAACGCCACGATGCACGACGGTGTACGTGCACATGCACGCACGCACGTGCACACGCACGCACGAACGCACGAACGCACGTGTACGTACGCACGCACGCACGCACAGTTACGTGCACACACAGGACGCACGCACGCGCATGCACGCACGTGTACGTGCACACGCACGCACGCACGCACGTCTACGTGCACATGCACACGCGCGCACACACGCACGTACGCACGCACGCACACATGCACACACGTGTACCTGCCACAAGCACGGCACGCACGCACGAACGTGTACCTGCACACGCGCGCACGCACGCACGCACGTGTACGTGCACACACACGACGCCGCACGCATGCACGCACGTGTAGGGTACTCACGCACGCACGCATGCACGCACACGTGTACGTGCACACGCACGCACGCACGTGTACGTGCACATGCACGCACGCACGCACATGTACGTGCACACGCACGCCACTCACGCATGCACGCACGTGTACGTGCACACGCACGCACGCACGCACGCACACACACACGCACGCACGTTTACATACACACGCACGCACGCACGCACGCACAGCACGCATGCATAATAAATCGGTAATAATCGCTATCGGGTGTTGTCGTGTAGACGCTACAATAATCGCTAACTCGAGTTAACGCTTAACTCGAGTTAGCTTAACTCGAGTTAAGGTTCGTCATGTAGACGAGGCTTAAGTGTATTATTGCACTATGTTATTTCAAGTTGATTGATTTTGTCCATCAAGTAAGTATATACTTTCTAGGACAAGTCATCATACACGATAACGGAGCTGCTCCCAAACACACCATACAACATACAGGTATGTACAGCTTCACATCAGCGACCGCCTTATAATGATACTCTTGACAAATTATGCATTATATCAAGAGCTAATAATACATATTATTAGGTATTATTAGCTCATGATTATATGTTTATTTCATGTCTTAGGTGCAAGCATTTTCACAGTATGGAGACACGAGGCTGCGAGGTGACAGGACGTCAGTTGACATCACTACACCACCGCTGGAGAATGGGGGTGAGTTGCTAAAAATGTTGATCTACAGCAGAGAATTCTGAAATTCTGGAAGGGAGGAGTCTGCTAAATGCAAAAAAGGACGGGTTTGAATGGGAAATTGTGAAAATGGGAAATCCTCCATATTTGTAATAAATGCCAGTGCAATCCAATCGATTCTGACTATATATTTTCCATTTTGAAGTCCTTTTTTTAACTGAGCAAAGATTTATAACAATGTACAGTGCAATGCAATGCCAATATATATATATATATATATATATATAATACGTTAACTAGTAGATAGTGACTAGATTGTTCTCATTTGCAGGCAATGTAGTAACTGGTCCAGTTCTTTTTGTCCATCCCTCACTCGGTGCAGCTGTGAATGTCACGATAGAGGTTCCATATTTCCAGAATGGGCTGCTCAAAGCTCGGGTCACCTGGGCTTATCCACCAGGTATCCAATTGCTATATTTTACTTGAAGTTGCTGTGAAATTAATAGTAGATAAGGATTCAAACTGAGAATAGATCGAGGACCAAACTGGAGTAAATATGGCCTATATTCAAAATTTGAACAATTCTTTTACATTAACCAAGTACCTATTCACACTTTGGTTTTTTAATTTTTACATCATTACTATATATTCGATGAATCGCTGATCACCAGCCATCTCATATTCATGTTTTACTCTAGGGTCCAGAGCATTGGTCAACAAGTTTCTCATTCACTGGGCTCCTGGGGTATGTCTGGGTCGCACAGCCAATGGAGAGAATGTCATTACCAAGACACTAGGAGGGACCACACATGTAAGTTTCACCTTGAAAAGGGTTCAATTAACCCAATTATCATCCCGCATCTAGGGGTTTTACTGATCGTTTTTTCTTATGTTCTATCAGGAGTAAGTAATCTGTTATCAATCTATATTGGTCATTGTTATAATTGAAGTTCTAGTGTTGTGGCGCCATCTGTTAGAACGATATTAGTAAAATTGATTATTTGTAAGCACTTTGAGTGGACAGACTGCCAGTGTCGGTTACTTATGTGTTTACTTAGCAGAACACTTTCGTAGTACAGTATAGGTTAAAATAGGAGCATCACAGCCTGGGCCAACATCATGAGTCCACTTCAGAGCACTTGACCTGTTGAGATATGATCCCTTTAGATACAGTGAAATTGATAATACATTTAATGAAATATGATTGTGGTGACGTGCAAAGCGGCTAGGGGTGGTCATATAATATCAACCTTAAACCACTGGTTTGCACTTGGTTAAAGCTGTGCATTTTCTTCACCCACTGACATAACATATGATTAGTGCTTGCTTTCAAGTATTAAAATCAGAAATGTATTTTTAGGAACCATTCTTTGACGTTTATGATCTTCGCTACAACTGCCGGTACACAGTTACTATTCAACCTACAACAGAAGATGCTCAGATTGGAAGACGAACATCAGTTGAGTTTCATACTCCTGCTTGTGGTGATGCAATCATTGTAGGTGACATCACACCTGACTGCCCAACACCTGGTATGCTTTATTTAAACAAATATATTTAAAGGGATACTACACCCAGGAATTTTAGGGTATATTATGATATTAAATGCATAAATAATAGTGTATTTCGTAAAATTTCTATAATCATGCATTCACATTTGTCATAAAACAACAGTCAGTTTCGAAATCTTTATTTTTGGCTGCTGACATGACACCCCACGATTGTGCTGCCACCATGACGAAGTCGCGCTTTTTCAGATTTATTTTTCACGTTACAAACCGAGGGCTAATCACAAAAGTGCTTATGACACTTATGTTTTAATATTCTCTTCTTTAATTATTTTTTTCAGAAGTGGGTATTTATATACAGGGTATCAGTTATATATCAGCACAATTACTTTTTGTAGCACCTGGTCAACCCTCTGCCCCCGAGAATGTTACACACATGATCATCATAAGCCCGGATAACATTATATCTGCGACAATACAGTGGGATATGCCGGGCCAGTCTGATAGGCCTGTCACTGGTTATCGCATCATTTATGGCAAGAAGCCATCATTCCTTGACAAATTGGAAATTGTGTCAAAGGTAGGTTATAGACTATACACACTCAAATTAAACTAGATTCACATTACAGAATGTTTGCCACCCACCTTGACATTTAATGCTATTATGAACATATCTCAGGAAAAATGTGCTCATAAATACACAATGATAAGTTTTTAAATATATGAACATGACAGGAATTTCCACAACTTTACTTCAGTATTTCTAAAGCTGTTTTTTTTATAGTTTACACGAAAAGATTTTTTACCCAATGCTTAACACAAACTATTTCTGTACATTTTCTTAACCATAATAAAATGCAGTTATGCTTATAGTTTTCAGTCATGCAACAGTTTTTATTGAATAAGCAAGTTTTAATTTTAATATCTTAAACAGTTTAGATCCTTTTCAATAATTAATACCATTACCTTAGTACATGTGGGAATTTCAGTATTGCCTGTGCACAATATAAACGAACATAACATTGACTATTTGCTGTCTTTTCTACAGGAGAAACATTCTATAACGCTACACGGACTGCATCAAGCAACAGACTACATGGTCAAAGTGCAGGCGGTCTCAGAAGTAGGCTTGGGGCAGCTTGCCCACCTAGAGTTTAGCACACCTAAGTTTCACTCAACAAAGGCTGATGATGGTAAGTTTCTGGATCTTGTTTGCTATTATACTTTCTAGTTCATCTATGAACAAGGATCAAATTAAACCATGCAGAAGTATGCACATTGTAAAACGATTGTAATAATGGTAAAAAAGTTATGCTAGCATATTGCACGAATTATGCACTATAGAGAAACTTTGTATAGATTGTTTTCTGCCAGCACACACATCTCATTCTCATGTCTTTATATCTATGAAAGTCAAATGCCTAGACTGGCTCACTGCCCTTAACTTATTGCTGCACTGTGCGGGTACCTATGAAATTAAGTTCAGGACAGGGAACTCCAGACCAGTCTAAAATGTCTGTGCTTGTCTGTCTGTCTGTCAGTCATAAAACCGTCTAGAAATAAAGCAACAATTGTGGGACACTGACAGTCTTGCAGTGGCAGTAATGAACTACAGCCGAAGAGGACATGGCAAATTAAAATTCCACGACTGTAAAATTCGCGAGACCCTAAACCAAATGTATATTAACCAATGCATACAGTGCTTCTGTCGTTAGTACACTTCCTATCGTGTACCACACATTCCGCTCTATTGCTAGCCATCATTTATTTCCTACTCTCCAGTTATTAGGCTTCCTTCCGCATTTCCCCTCCAACATATTAGGTGCTTATAACTGCGTCTGTGCACATTGCGCAATTCAATTGATACAGCCCTGTAGTTACGAAATAAGCATCCCACCAGCCATGCGGCTGCCCCCCTCAGTCATCCCTGGGTCGTCTGTGCGTAGGAGTGCTAGTGCACGCGTGAATATGCCTATTGTACCATCAATCACAAACCATCTAAGGTTAAACAGCTTCTTATTCATGATTTTATCCGGGCAACGTCCAGTACTGTTGCTAGTACATTTATGTTTTCATGTTTTTCACAGTTCACATTGCAGATGACGACATCCCATCATCGACACATAAAAGCTATGATGGAGGAGGTGAGGAAACACCGGAGGTAAAGCCGCAATTAAAATCCAGGGAGACTGTACAAGTGCTTTCAGAGATGTCACGCAGAAACCGCGCATCTCTGAGTAGAAGCACCTCGTCAAATATTGTATCGTTGTTAATCTCAGTGATAACTTTAATGCAATTCATGATGCAGGGCAGAAGCTAATACATATACCTGCCTTTTGATGGTGTATATTTAGTAAATTTGATACATCGGTATTGGCTTACGTCAAGTAATACCTGCTTTTTTATTTAGATCTACGCGTACACTGCTGCTACTATTACATTTATTGTTTATGGTATCAAATTTGTATCATTTTCAGTTATCACAGCTGGTGCTAGGGTGCACGTACATATTACTGTCCGTGGCCTTGTATGTAGAGCTTAATGATGTCAGGTAGAGACGAATGAAATACATAATTATGCAGTTGTGTGTGAAATGAGAGTTGTGTCGTTTGGTAAGCATGTCTTTTGTAATTAGGGTAAAGCAACCTTAAATGAGTATGATTGTTCCATCTCTCTGATAATGGTTTGCTTCAATACTGTGCAATTTTTTGTGAACATATGGAGATAGTTGCGTTTTTAAGTGATTAGTAGTTAATGTAAGTGGTGATTGAACCGATCTAGACACTCACATACATATATACTTCAGTTAGGCCAGCAAGTGCCTAGTATGTGTGTAAGCGTGTTGTGATCTGCACCACCACTAGTAGATTCGTGTCATTTACACAATGCTAAACATTCCAACAGTGTGCAATCTTAATGGGGGCACTGTGTACTTTTGCCTTGAGATTTTTATTGTAATACTATGGATATATAGTATTGTATAGCAGATTGGTGTTACGTTTATTCTTAAAGCAATTCTAATAGACTGTACCTAGTCTGTTTTCCAGACTCATGCATGAGATTGAGTGATGACTGCAGTATACGTGCTCTGGATGAAATTAAGACAATTAAGGCAGCATTGCCCAGGGAATTATACTAGAATAGATGGACCCCACTGCACGTGCAGTGTGAAAGTATCATAAGTATTCACTTTGTGCAAATACAATATGCTTCGTCATTATTTCATTTAAAATCTCATATTTAATAACATGGGTCCATATTCTTGTCAGTGCTTGGCAAGCGCTGAGGTAGGTATGACCATAAACACGCATACACGCATGCACGCACACACAAAGACATATTCTCATTGTATAAATATGTATACATTGTATAGGTATATTCACGGTATAACTGTATATTTACACATGGAACCCAACCAGGCAGTGTGATATAGCCGAGAAATTCTGACGTGAGAACAAATTTAAATTGAAAACATGTCCCTTAATTACTACCATGCCTATAATTTCCCGTTCATTACTACCCTACAATTTTAATGCATACGCCTGTTGCAAACGCGCATAACATGCGCAGTCAGCATATATCTAAACACCGTATCCACGTAGTTCTTGTACGTACGTACGTACGTAGAACATTGTAGTGTCTTCGTAACAGCGCAAAATACTACGCTTCTATGCAAATTTAATTTGTTTTGCATGAAAGTAACCTGAAACCACTTTACAGTTCATTTAATTGTAGCTATTGGGCACAGGCACGTATTAGAAAGAAGAGTTAGCAACGATCGTAAATGTCCAAACACTGACCATGGGCTTGTACCCCATTAATTATCATTGATATTATCATTCATGTGAACTTGCTCTATTAATGGAAATTCATGCACCTAAGATACTATAGCTGCTAGCTCCCGCCACTCATCGTTGCGTAATCTAGGCAACAGGGAATCAGGCGATATGCAGTCTGCAATGAAATTCAATAGCCAGATTCTTATACCAGCAGTTCCACTTTCGATCTATTTATGGACCGACCATGCAATGGACAAACATGAACTGACCAAAAACCATTCACTCAAATGTATCAGAAGTGGAATCTTTTTGTGCATCTGTTATGCTGATAGAGCAGCTGAAAAGTATGTAATATACAGTCGTACGAATTTTTCGATATAATTGTCCCATTTATCATATAAGGCATATGCCCCTATGGCCATAGGCCCACTAAGGCATATATGCCTATAGCGTCAGAGGTGTTTAAATATTAAAAAAATAGTATATCATTTATTGAAATTTAATGAAATATTCCTGTGTTAGCATATTGTTAACATGTGGTTTGTAGTCTGTGTATGTACATGTTAAAGCTGTGATCGAGATATTTTCAGGTTTTATTTTACTCATTAATTGAGATGAATTTGACCTTTTTGTCATTCCTTTTAGTGTACCCGGGTACGTAGTTTATGTGACAAATTTCCTGTAAGACCAACTTATTTTTTATGCATGTAGGTACCGGTAACACAAAGCAGGTAAATATCTACAGCCACCAAATCTAGCTTTGCATTGAGCTACCTAACCTATGTTTTGGTTCATTGTTTTTTTATAACTTGAAAACCGTACATTAGATATTTGTAGTGATAATTTGAGCATCGAACCAAAAACATTATACTACTTTCAGGAGCGTAGCTAACCCATTTTTCCTGGGGAGGGGGGCAAAGCCATGTGCATGGTGTGTTCTGGAAAGGTGATCACCATTGACCGACCATGTATTGTATCTACTTTTTTTTGGGGGGGGGGTACCCCCGCTAGCTATGACGATGACTTTACCATGAAACGTTCTATATACGTGCCGATTAAATAACCTAGGCATGATTGTGTATGAGGGTTGTTCAAGATTAGACTGGGACATGTCCCGTCAGAATTCACGAAGTATATATCTATAACATGTAAATGATTTGCTTTATTTGACTACTTACTGGATTATTGCTCTTGTGCAGTACTGTAGACCAATATTCAGGGATGTAGTGTAATCCCTTGTGGTCATGCATCGTTTACGTGTATATAAAGCATTGTCTTCATGTGTATCACGTGGTTTAGGATATGCAATTGTTCTGATTTTCTGTACTTATACCAGTCGTCGAGGGCCAGTGAGGGTGCATTATACCAAATATGAACGCACTTGTGCATAGAATAGATCTGTATAACCTAATATTTTTCCGTGCATCATCGATGCGTTTTTGGGTTTCTTTGGCGTATTTCATTAAATATGCACATTGTCACGCAGTATTTAGTCAAGCATCACGTTATCTACTTTTGATTTCCTACACTGTCTCACTGCTAGCCATCCAGCAATGATAGTTCACAGAGAGGTAGCAGTTAAGTTAATTTCGCAGATTATAGTAAAAATAGTGAGAGCCTCATCAAACTCGATAATTGCATATACATTTGGTTATAGCTAAGTGAACCAGTATAGTATTACATTCCACAGTACTGTCAACCTGTATGTCATCGGTGAGCTTAAGGACAGCAGAAATAGCATGCCTCATTGCCACTACAGACGCCCTGGCTGCAATAATTACCAGCGATAGCGGTATTGCAATATAACGTTCTGAAGAAAACGTCTATACGTTCGGCAGCGAAGTAGTCGCAACTGTACAAACTGTAAATAGCAGGTTTTTACTCTATTCGACTGTGCAAGTATACTCCTGTTTCAGTTGCATTCTTAATAATATAATTTACTTGATGATGGATAGTGCCTGTATATGTTGTTTATTTCGGTTAAATGAATATGAAGAACATTTTAAAACATAATTATGTATCATGAATTTTATTGGAAGATACACAGTGCAATATGAACGCACTAAATCTGATTAACAAAGTATATACAGTTCCAAGCATATGGAACCAAATTATCTGTCACGTTGTCAGAAATGCCATTGGTACCGGCACGTCATACCCGTGAATGTACAATGGCAACATTATACTACCTAGACCAGACTCCATACATCGTATTCTGGATTGTGTTGAATTGGTTAAAATTCAGTATCCAGTAATCACTTGCAATGCACTATTAGTATGAGTACTCGTAATTACAACGTTTGCCACACTGTGCAATTTGTAGGTGTCACCCAGGCAGACAAGCGAAGCCTATACGTTACGTTACGTACCTGCCACTTATTCGCATGAGCAAGTTCTGGGAGTCGACCAAAACCATTTCTGAGTAATGACACACTTGACAACAGGACAGTGCAGCTTCTATGATATGCATTTATGTGACATGCACTGTGTTCAAAATACTTGGTATACAATTACATGAGGTACACATACATGTTCAAATATTTCGAGTTTACACATTAATTACCGTGATACGTGTAATCCTCCAGATCAGGTTACCCTCCAGACCACGAAAACTTACCTTCCATGAACGTTTTAATACAACTTTATTTCACTGACTGGTTAATGAAAATATGCAAATGCGAAAAATATTTCCCCATTTTACGAACATATCAGATGACTTTAAATGCAGCCAAAATATTGTTTTCTTATAATTAAGCAGGTCAGTTGCCATGCTACAGGACACACCCTAGAAAATAGCATCCCTTGAACAGATTAAACTCAACTTGGCAGAACCATTAACGAATAACTGCAGTAGACGCCCTCTGTCAAACGAAATTAGTGCATATAGGAACATTTTATTCTGAAAGTCATTGGTCACCGGTTTATATCGAGAATCAATTGGCACATGTTTCAGTGATTGACATAACCATGCTGATCACTGAGCACATATACCTATAATTGCATATGATCTACATCGCACACTATTTCTTTTAATCAATAGGAAGAAAGACATTGTTAGAATGGTAGGAAATACCCGGCCCATTCCAACCCTTGACCCTTGCTTCAATGCTGGCTACAAAAAATAAGACCCATCAGAACATAATTTACCTAATATCTAGCAACATTGCTAGATTAAGTTAATTACATTCACACAAGATTTTTATACAAAACTGAAGAAGTAGCTCATATCCGAGTATATCACTTCCCTTCCAAGTTTACAATGTAAGCCCGACTGTTTTCATTCCAAACTAAGAATGGAAAATAATCGTTAGTAGCAGGAAAACATTACGTTGTAGACACGCACAGTGAATACAAAGCACTGTTTCACAATCACAAATATTAGTTCTGTTTGAAGTACTGGAAGCTGACTTACTTGAGGATGTGATGGACCACAATATCCCATTGCGAACCCAAAAGGGACTGTCCTTAAGAAAATTACCCATCCCCACACGGTGAAGGAATACATTTGGCCTCGTTACCACCAAAACACATACATGTCTCTACATGGTTTCTACGTACAAATCTTGAAAAGGTTACACATTAATTTAACATATAAAAGTGATACCCTAAGAAAAGGAACATGCAATCGATTTCATTTTCGTTTTAAACTACTCAATTTTGTCTTGAGGGAATGGCAGTTAGCTGCAGCAAATAATGATACAAACGTCATTATAAGTAATTAACACGTTTTCGATTCGAGGAAATAATTTTGTAAAGATGTTGACACACTACTGTGTATGCCTGCACTGTTTCTACTCTACTTGTAGCCACAAGTTACCTTCTCGCTTCTCACTACGGCTCATAGGGTCTCTGTCCCCCAGGGTACTGCCGGAACGTACCCTGGGTACGGTCCGGTATACCGGAACGTACCCTGGTAACTATTTGATATGGTTAGAGTTAGGGTTAGGGTATAGGGTATAGGGTATAGGGTATAGGGAGTAGGCGTAGGCGACTCCCTAGACTCGTTAGTGGAGTAGGCGAGGTACGGTCCGGCATATTAGATAGTACCAGGGTACGTTCCGGCAGTACCCTGGGGGACATAGACCCTCTCAGCCTCACTACGTGGTGAGAAGTGAAACAGTCATAGAGCCTTGTCGGGCTACTCGTAACACTTACTATTATACACATAACACCTTATATGAGCACTTTACTATGTTAGGCCAAGAATATTTATAACATCATAAAACATCCTGTCACATCACTTTCATCCGATAGATGTATCTTCCACAAATTTCAAATTCCTAATGGCCCGTGTACATGTATATCACTATATGTAACTGATACTGAACTAAAACTTAATACAGCGATTTACTCTAAAACCATTGTGAAAACACAAGTGCAAAATTATCCGAACACTTCGAAGCCGAACACTTATTCTGACCGTTTGTGTTTTTTACTAGAGCTATTACGCAAGCAACTTACTTTACACGCTATACAAGCAAGTGACTACAGTGCAAACACATTCTTTGTATAAGAAAGTATTAATTAGGTGATACTCATAAAACTATCCTCTGATGTTATTTGGAAATCTCACATTCTTCCTCATCACTCATTTCAGTATTTGTGTTTATCACTTGATCCAGACCTGCAACAGAACAGCATTGACATGCTCAACAATATTAGACTACATTATTACGTAATACCAATAAAAAATATCTATATATGTGAACCAGTCACATGTCAGCCACTGCGTAGGAAGAGCTTCTATCATTCGTGTGAGATTATTTGGCCTCAGGACAATCTGTGGTCGGACTTCATATTATATATGGAAGTAGAATGTATTCTTTACATTTATTAATGTATATATAGAGGCGAGTCATGTACATGACTTATATATTAGTGTATATACCAAGTTGGAATGTATAAATTTATGGACATTGATTTGTATACAAAAATAGTATATATGTGTTCAGCTATAGACATTGAGTTTTATATAATAAAGATTGCTATTGATGTGTGCAGTGCACAAACAGACAAGTACTGATATACGTAGTGAACAAATAAGGGGGTATTTATTTACAAGTATATAGTTCACTAATACTGGGTAATAATACCAATTATGAATTTGTATAGTGAACAAATGAGAAAATATGTGTATGTGTAGTGGACAAATGATGTTGGTGTTGATGAAACTGTTAATAAGTACATGTCAAAGTGTATAGTAATACCGGTCAGTTTTGGAAAATGCTAAAGTCGTATTACTTTATGCGTTGTATCAGTTATAGTTAGTTAATGTTGTGTGTAAACATTTAAACCTCTAGGGTCAGTTGTCAGAAACATAATGCTAACATCGCACTTACAACTAATGTGAATGTTATGAGAATAGCGTCGACAGAAACGCATGATCGCAGCTATGAGAAATTGACTGCAAAACTCAGATTTATACACATTTATTGTTCCTCACAGCAATTTATGCATATTACGATGGTTATCAAGTTTATGTTAAGAATTTTGTTTCTGACAACGGGCCCCTGGTGTGAAGCAAGGAGCTAAATATAACATTTATGTTATAACAGTATATAACATTTATGTTATAACAGTATATAACATTTATATAACAACTGTTATATTTAGCTCCTTGGCGTGAAGAAGTGTGATGTTCTGCTGCCATCTAGTGGCAGGTATCAAGACTGTAAGTCGTACACTGGTGGTTGTAGCTGACTACGTTGTCAAAAAGTGTAGGAAGTCATGTCAAATCACTTCTGAATTGTTTTTCCTGTCATTCTACCGATACACAATGCATATAGTCAAGAAATAGGCAGATATCGATGTTGAACACAGGTGGCTGACCATAAAAAATACGTATATATATATATATATATATATATATATCAAAGAAAGCATAGTCTTCTTCCAAAAATAAATATACTACAATCACATAACACCTATACAACCACAGTATATATATATATATATATCAAAGAAAGCATAGTCTTCTTCCAAAAATAAATATACTACAATCACATAACACCTATACAACCAGTTGTAAAATAGTACTACCTAATGGTTCTTGGCTGAAATTCGAAAGTAAAATGCATACCTTGCATGTTCAGCTAGTGGGATGAATTAAATATAAAGTCACCCTATATTAACAGATAAGGCTAGAATTATTTAATCAGTAATAGTAAGCTGGCTTCTGAATAAGGCAATAAATACTTCCTACTGCATTTACCCAAGGATTACTTAATTACTTTATTCTTCCAACTTAACTGATCACATCTAATTATTTCCAATTTTACAAATTAAAAGTTACTAAGGCTTTTAAATACTATCAACTTAAAGGTTTCTCTCATTTTCAGTAAAATAACAAACTTCACACTTCAGAGGTTAGTAGGAAGACACAGGTACAGACACATTACCATATGCATACACACATACGTAGACATAACCATATATGTATATAACCATATACATAGACATAACTATAATTTGGTAGTAAGTTACCAAATTTACTTCAAAAAATCTGCATGATTTTGACAGATCCATAACCCTACTCCAAACAAGAACTCAGTTAAGGGAGTATAAGACAACATAAATAAATTAAATACATTACGTAGACCACAGCTAGCGGCATTAGACTTGCTACTAAGGCGTAGGCCATGCTTATGTACCACAAAACGTCTTCAGCACCATCAATGTGGCAAAATAGTAGGCTGCCACACCCCTACACAAAAACTGCTTGATCGATGTCACCATTTGAAAGAAGAGTGATTTCGCATCCTCCCAGTAGGCCTACCTGCTTCATCCCAGCTGTGATTTCAACGTTAATCCACCATATATCTTGTAGGTTCTTGCACTACCCTACAGTCCTATAGACCTGTTGTGGGAACTCACTCCACCAACAGCAGACAAAAAGAAGCACAATGCATTTTCGCGGTAGACATCGCAAATCGGTGCCATCGTAAGAGTGCTAAAAACTACGCTAGGTCAAACCTTGACCGTTCCCGAGAGCTGTCATGGGAGCGGCTGCGAGACCGGAAGGAAGGCCTGCTAGAGTCTGACTTACTGCCGGCGGCATGTCGCTTGTGACGATGTGGTGATCTACAACAACAAATAATCAAACAGTAGAAACTACAGGATGCCTGACAGGCACTGAAAGACTGTGCACCTAGCCAAGAACTCGGAACTTCAATCCGCACAACTTTACTTATACTAGCAAAGCGACGAAGTACCAATTCAGATATATTCATTGCTGTATATATGGATGGCTTCATTATAATAGAAACCCCTAAGTAACTATTTTCCATTGCTTTTTTGCCATGTTGACAAAACATCGACAAAATGTTCTGCCATTTTATACAAACACATGATGTTATAGTACAGTACACAATCTATTATCTGTAGATATCAGTAACCCTTGGGACCAGACACGTTTCGGAATTCGGAATTTTTCGGATTTAGGAATGGTAGTACAGTACAGATATACATACCGTATGTCCTGCAACTAGCCAGTAGTACTAAAACCCCAGTTTTCAAGAAGCCAAGTGCTGTACCGGTACAGTACAATATGTATGAATAATGCCAAACACATTAATATTTCTGCAGTGAACCTTGTGCAGCCAAACGCAAGCTTTGGTGTGCAGACGACCTCCACGAATAAACATTCGGTTTTCGGAGCTTTTTGGTTTTCAGAATTTCGGATAATAGATTGTGTAGGGCCTACTGTAGCTTGATGATTTTCATTGATCCTGTGCACTACAAGCCTACCTAGAAATCATGGGGATAGCTCTCAACCTTTCAGTAACACAGTTCATTGGAGAATGTACAGAGAAATAAAGTGCAAATGATACCAGCCACGAACACTGCAACCTCACAGTACAGGCAACTTGCTGCTCTATAACAGCAGAGTAGGGAAACATACCCATGAAACAGCCTACTTAGTTTCTTTACAAAAGTTGAGACAATAGTGATGTGTTCAGCATTAAAAGCCAAGCAGTTATTAAACACTCATCACGACTAATAAAAAGCTTAATGATAAAAACATGCAGTCTTATGCTTATAAGGATCAACCCTCATTTGTGAAAAGCTACATGCATAGAATGGGATTATCATGCCAGAGAACATGAATAAAATAACTGCAGTGTGCAGTTGGAGAAGTCAGTCCATTTTTATATTACAATATATAAGATGAAAACGTTAATTACAAAAGCATAACTTATCCAAACTGAAAATTAAAATACACAATCATATACTCTAAGTCTAAGGATAATAGGTAAACTGTTCGTTGCCCTATATGATTTTTAAACAGAGCGGTTGTACCACATCTCCCTGTTTCTTAGATGGGTGCAGATTTAAGCCCTGGCATGTTTCTAAACCCGCCACGGTCACCAGCGTGCTACCACCGTTACCTGGACCGAGAACGAGTACGGTGTTTCTGCCTTGACCCGGACCGAGACCGTGACTGTGAGCTTGAAGAAGAAGACCTGAAAGGTAAATAGAAATTACCTTAAAATTCAGATAAACTGCAGGTAACAGTAAAATTGCAAATGCAATAATATATATATATATATATATATAGTTATATATAACTGTTTGTAGTTTATAAATAATTTTTAGCTTAAATTCTGACACCTAACGACTTTTATATCAGGCAATCATTACTGATTCCTACCTTGAGCTAGACGAATAACTACGTGACCTTGAGGAGCTGGAACTAGAGCGAGACCCTGACCTCGACCTTGAAGCAGGTCGTTTACGTGACCTACTCCCCTGATCCGACTTGTCATCTTTCTCGTCTTCCAGTTGGTACTTTGACAAGTCATCACCACTCTGTGCAGACGAAAGCAGCAAATATTCCTTTATTTCACTAATAATGCAATACTGTTAGTAACACATGAGTTCAATGTTTATTACCATACTTCACATCACTCTTAAAACATTGTCCAAACAAGCTCTTACTGGTCACATTTATAACATGGCTACATTTTATGTTACATGTATCAGAACTTTTTAATATCAGAAGTATCTATCATATATTCCTTATCAGTTTGACAGATATTTAATAGCTGTACCTTCTCATCATCATCACTATCAAGTTGATATTTTGACAGATCTCCATCTTCATCGTCCTCATCATCATCTTCATCATCCTCAATAGGTTTAATTGAACTTGAAGTTGTGTCTTTAATATCATCTCTAACTTTTCCCTTTTTTAATCTTCCAAACTGAAACCATAACAATTATACATAGACTAACCTACAACGATAAAGCTAGGAACCTGGTTAATTAGAGTTACAATTTTCCAACACCACCAACCAAATAGTACACAAATGTATAAGGACTCATCAGTATCATCCTATAACATATGTGACCCGCTCCAGCATAATACGGACTAAGTCGCAAGTCATTGTTTTGAGTAATGAGCACGCACACATGTCAATGCTGAAAATGGCCTACCTGGACAAAAATTTGATTATTACAAAAATAAGTTGCTAAGTGCATATTTAATCCGGATATATAGGTTCAGATACCTCTAGATTATTATGGTCAATTTTAATTAAAAGAAATATAAAAAAATATAAATGTTTGAAGGGCCCCTGACCACTCATCCCCGACTGGGCCCCTTACCCGGAACGCTTTACCTCAAAAGCTGCATATTCCGGAATAAGTCGGTTTCCGATCTTCAAATTGCTGTAGATCGGTCAATTCTTTAGATATAGCCGAATATTATATATCATTTTAAAGGTAATTAAATGATCTATTCAGATATGCACATAACCCAATTTGTAGAATTTCCTACTTAATCCTGGTTTTGCTGGAGCGGGTCACATATAGTCACGTGTGTTGATGCCTTGACAGTATTAATAATATCATGAACTTACCTATACAATGAACATGAAATACCATTATACCAGCTATTACAGTAACAATGACATTTCAGAATTGCCAAAAAACGCTGATGTTGTGATGGGTCTACTCTCATGATGCCAAATGCTGTCTTACAGTCTGTCAATCAGTGACTTCATATAGTGTGCATTCTAAATTGCAATAATTTTCCTTTTAAACAGTCTCAATAATTTCAATGATACCCAACACAGAGAACCAACATTTGACTGTTTGCATCTGTTACACCATTAGGGCAGTCTTGTATAGTAATATATACAACTCTTAGTTACTTTACCCTAGTCTTTATTATTAGCAGGTAAAATGTTACATATCTTTTTGAAAATGTTATATTGCATATTCTAAATATATTTTCTACTCAATAATGTAGATTTTTACATACAACTATTCCAAATTAAATTTAGAATCCAAATTAAATTTAGCACATATCAACCTATTGTACATAAAAACCAGTTAACAGAAACTTGACTTATTTATACTAACTCATGCTACTTATTTCTGCCATTTAGTGTCACTTTTCAAAAATTCAGAAATGGCATCGTTTCCACAGTAGCTAGTATAGCAGTCCTTCCTGTTGTTGTCATTCATTGTACAGACTTTCATAGTAGTGCTAGTATTAAACGACTATAACCAAATACTAGATTGATACACTATTACAAAGTGTCTGCACACCAGTCACAAATTGTCCAGACCAAAAAATAGAAGGAGGTATTATTAAATAGCACTTCTCATACCTCATCATATAACTCATCCTCGTCAGAAACATGTTCATTGTATTCGACATTGTCTCTTTCGTTGAAACCGCCACCAAGTCCAGTTCGCTCTTCAATAGGGCCATATCGTGCAGCATTACACATGTTGCAATCTTTGCGCCTTGCCCAGTTCACATTGCCACACCTTGTGGAGAACAGATCACGATAAAAAATCTTCACGTGCATAGCAGATACATATTTCATGACAACACCCTTGCCTATTTTTATTAATAAATGGTATACCACTAGACTACTGATCGTATATATTTTTAATGGAATTACATGCAGACTTAATTTCAATAAGAAGTTACATACTTGGCACATTGCCAGTCATCTGCACTGAAGAGACCTTTGCTTTTCTCAGCCAAGTGCTTTCCAATTTCCACTCCAGACTTTTTAACTTTGGGCCCAACGAGAGGTTTGTCTACGAGATAAAAAAAAACAATACTGCAGTCCTTACATACACAAGAATAAACAAGGGAACAGTGCTTGCTATACAGGTGAATAACAGGTAAATCCATTTTTCCAATAGACAGGGCTACTGCTGGCGTTTGCTGCCTTTGCAAAATGCGATAAATAAATAACAATGGCGATTTTACTACAGTAGGTGGTGAATACAATTGGCGAATGACTTATCAGGTACATAAGGGGTATATCACCACGGAGACAGGGATATGTCGCCACGGAGGCAGTATTAGGTATGCAAGGGGTATGTCGCCACGGAGACACTATCAGGTACATAAGGGGTATGTCACCACGGAGACACTATCAGGTACATAAGGGGTATGTCGCCACGGAGACACTATCAGGTACATAAGGGGTATGTCACCACGGAGACACTATCAGGTACATAAGGGGTATGTCACCACGGAGACACTATCAGGTACATAAGGGGTATGTCACCACGGAGACAGTATTATGTATATAAGGGGTATGTCGCCATGGAAACAGTATTATGTATATAAGGGGTATGTCACCACGGAGACAG